TCCCCACTTGCTCTCGCTTTGGTTGGGGGCTTTGTTTCCCTGGCTGGCAGCCAGGGTGGAAAAGCACCAGCTGCAGCTCTGGAGCCCAGCATGGGCATCTCCCACGGGGAGGGCAGGAGCGGTGCCTGCAGCAGTGCGGGACAGAGCCGTGCGCGGTGGCTCTGCCTGTACATGCCCGTGGCTTCTTCCGCACCCTTGTGAGCATGACACCACCATACCTGGGGACAAGGGCCCTTCCCCATAAATCGTAGGTGGTGCTTTGGGACCTCTCTGTTGCTGTGGTGGCCAAGATCACTGCCCAGCCTTGTTGCTTGGGCCCTGGCAAAGCAAGTGGGAGGAGGTGGCCTGCAGTACTGCCACGTTCTGTTTTTCCTCGGGTGTCTGCCAGATTTCCAGGCACAAGCAGGGGCTGCCCAAGTAGCACATGGGCAAGGCCCATAGGAATTAGGAGAAAATGCAGGAGCAAAGCCCACAGCAATTCCTTCTCTCTTTTTCCCTCCCTGCCTTCAGACTTTTCTCCTGGAGATCCCCGGTCATCCTAAGGAAATGCTTGTTTTCACTGTGTTTGCCTTTCAGCTGTGCGCTGAATTTTGTCAGAAGATGTAAGAAAGGTCAAGTCAAACAATTAAGTGGTTATGAAGCATCACTGCCTTGGCAGTGTCCAGACCCCTCTGGCAAGCTCAGAGCAGCTCAGGGTTTTGAAACAGCAATGTTGTAACGCTCTTACCCTTTGTCTTTGCAAGGGCTGTAGAAGAATGTTTCAACTACCCCAATAATTAAAAAAAATGCTTGCTAGTTGTTTGCTCTTCAAGCGTTCTTGCTGGTTCCCAGTAGTTAATGTGGGAGGCACCACAGGAAGCAAGGGAGGGACTGGTGGAGAGGAGCAAAATAGATTAGGATCATTATTTCTCCCTGGTTCGTGCTGGGGACGTCCACTTGTTTTATACGGGCACTGGAGCTGGGAGTTCACCTTCAGATGTGGCTGCGAGCTGCATCCCTGTTGTAAAGCTGCTCCTGGCTGCAGTGGTCCCTGGGTGGTGGGACCACTGGGGAGCTTGGTTGGAGGAAGGCAGCAGGGCCCGGTTGGTGCATGGCGTGCTGCTGGCAGCCCGCGATGGGTTGCTGCTGACCTGATGGCCGCGTTGTCTACCTCAGTTCAGAGGAGGCTTTGGTCTCGGAGGAGCTGCCTGCTCGGCAACAAGCCCCTAGTTTCATCCCCAGGCAAAGCGTGCCTTTGACCGCTTTCCAGGCTCACTCCTGAAAAGGTGAATTTCTAGATGTTCTTGAAATGGACTCCTTTATTTCCCCTCAGGGCCCAAGCATCCTCCAACAGCTTGCTCCCCGCGGAAGGGCCTTTGCCTGCGCCCTGGCTCCGCCTGAAGCCGAGGAGCACCCGGACAGGTCCCGCTCAGCTCACGCCACTTGAGGGCAGTGGTTGCATGCCCAGAGCCTGGCTGCTCTCCCGGGATAAAAGACCTGGGAGAACCGGGCTCACCGTACGTGTCAGATATGCCGAAATTCAGAGACATGGTCTGATACACCAGGCATCACAGGATGCTTAGCAAGCGTGCGGCATTAAAGGAGACATTTTTGAAAAAAAAACCCAACCCTGTACACAAGTTTGCAGACTTTCTGCTGGAGCTGGAAATGAGCTGTGTTGTGGACTTTTTTTTTTTTTTTAAAAGACGTCAAAGGAGTCAGTGCTTCCTGCTTTCATAATGCAGCTTCATAAATTCACTGTATAAAGATGAAATGGCTCATGTGCCCCTTTCACTGGTGGGGAGCTGAGGTCCAGTTTTCCAGTCTGCAACTGGGCTTCTCATTTCTTCTGTGTTTCTACAGAATTTAATGTGACTTGAGCTCAGCCCAGTGGTTACCCAAAGGCCATTACTTCAGCAGACGAGCCCACTAAGAACAGTGGTGGCTTAATTTGTGCCAGATTTCACACTGTTGGCCCGCAATCCGAGACATCACCTTGGCGTCTGGTGGCCGTATTTTGCTCAGGTAACGTTTTCTCTCTGTCCGGTTACGTGCTTGGCTAAGCAATTTGCTCATTTCTCTGTGCTTTTGAGGTGATTTGCCCACCGCAGCCCTGCCCACACTGCCGGCGCTGTGCTGGAGTGGTTGTCAGGGGGTTGAAGAGGGAGGGCTTCTGCAGGGGCTGTCACGGCTTGTACCAGCCGTGGTTCCCCCACGCCGCAGTTCTGGTCCTGTCCATGTTTTTCCACTTCTGTTGTCATCTAAGGATGCAGCCCACTTAAATGGGATGCCCTCCAATTAAAATGCAGGTCCGGTCTGCCCTGTCATGGGAAAAGTTGTGTGTTTGGGGCGGTGGTTAGCTCTGCTTGTGTCTGAGCCCGCTGCGATAGGGTCAGAAATGAGAACAAATGGAACGGGCTCGTCTTGAGATGCAAACCACTCATCACCCGGCGTGGAGTAGCCTGGGCACAAGCTGCTATGTACTATTGCCTAGGGCAGCTGTAGCCTGGTGCCATGGTGATGGCCACACTTCCCTCTCCTCACCCCAATGCCGGGTGCCATCTTGTTGCCATGCCAGCTCTGTGCTGGGGACAGCCACCCGGCGTGTCACGAGGAAGGGGCACATCTGCAGTGGGACATGGAGAGGGGGGCTGGAGAGGCTCCCCTGTCTTCCGCACAGTCCTGCTGGCTCCCTGCAGCCAGGCTGAAAGCCCTGCCATGATACCAGCACCATACCCTGGAGGCCTCCCCAGCCGCTGGAACATGCGGGAGGTGGGG